AAAAAAACAATAGCACACAAAAATCTAAGAAAAATTAAACCTTCTGAAGTCTGCCACCAATATTTCCCTTCACTTGCTGGTGTCTCCCTCTTCAGTCCCACAGGTCTCAGGGCCTTTCAGAGTACTAGCAGTCTTTTCTAGCAGTTCTAGCAGCAAAACTATTGCAGGATGTTTTCAAGGCTCAGCTGCTCATTAGCATTCAGATCCTGGGAATCCCTGGAGGAGCATAACTGAAACACTAGCAACAATGCTCCTTCCTTACCACCCTGCTGTGTCCAGAGCCCATCAGCATTGCCAGAACAATGCAGAATGGAATTTGTTAGGCCTTCCATAGGACCTCTATTTTCATTTCATTTTAACCTCACCATTGCTCTAAAAGGAGCAGTTGAAGCAACCTAAAGTTTGTCTTTTTTAAAAAAAACCTTGTAGTTTGAGTGAATACAAATTGGATTGGTTTTTCATTCAACTGTTCACGCACATTTTGTTTTATGGTATTTACTACAATACCCACAGTGCAATCACACTTTCCCCACTTCTGCCCTGTATTTGTCATGTTCAGTAATCCTCTCTTACCTCTTCTTGCCTTTAGGCTTCATCCTTGAGTAATGCTGCTATTTTGACCCTATATGGTTGGTTATTCCAAGGAGTGAGAGTCTCACTGGAATTACTGGAGCACAACAAAATTTGAAGAATAAGTTCACCACTATCAAAACTGCGCTCTATGCAGGATTTAAGAATGTAAAGTTATTTAGAAATATGCTCTTTTCTGATGTAAGTAGAGGTCACAATAGAGTAGGATTTTGGATTCTAAGAAAAGAGTGTTTTTTCTTATAAGAGACACAGATACAGAGGATCCCAGAGAACATGAGGTAATGATGGAGGTGGAGATGAATAATCTTCCAGCCAAGAAGTGCCAAGAATTGCTCGCCACCACTGAAGGACATAATGGAAGAAAAGAACATCCACTCCTCCAATACTTTCCAGAAGAACTGGGAAGCATAAGGAAGGAAGAAAACATACACTCTGCTCAGTGCTTTCCAGAAAGAACTTGATTGTACTTTCATTTCAGGTTGCTCAGATCTCAAACTCAAACTGACTACTATCAAGAACCAACTTACAGACACCATCAGATTTCTGAGGGTGTAAATCCCATAGGAGGAAATTGACCCTCTTTCTCCTGTGGAGGCCCTGGTGGATTAAAATCTTTGGGTTAGCACACGATTCCATACAGAATATGCCTTCAGAGGTCCCCTTCTAGCCTCCAGAATTATAAGAGAGAAGCTTTATTTTATTTTTAAGCCACACAGCATATTACGTTTTGTTATGATAGCCACAGGTAGTACTGTTGTTGTTGTTGTTGTTACTAGACAGAAGAAATTCAGCATTAATGCTACCACATTGTCCAGGTAACGTTTTCCTCAGAAACACTCATTTAAAAAGCTGTCACTAAGAAGGAAATATGATTCTACAATATTAAGACCAATTTTGTAGTTGAGGCACATGGTTCAAATCCACCAGATACTCTGTGGGAGAAAGATGGGTAATATCCTCATGTGATTTACCACCTCTGAAAACCTGCCAAATATTTATATTTTTACTTATATAAGACTCACTTGCATCAAATTGATTCAGAATCATAGTGACACTACAATAGAGTAGACAACCTCTTGGGGTTTCCAAAGCAGAAACTCTCTGCAGGAACAGACTAGTCCTCTTTCACCTGTGGAATAATGGGTGGAAGTGATAGATTGACACTGTGACTGTGGTAACGGGAGGAGGTATGTCAGAGACTGAGATTGGCTCAGTATAGTGAAGGATTCCGAGCTATTGTTCATAGGGTCACAATGAGTCATAATCGACTAAATGACACTTAACATTTAAATGGCATACAAAATAAACCTCACTGGTTAAAAGACTTTTTAGTAGTATAGTGTGCTGTTTCTTCTGAGATTTCATAACCATAAAAGAAGCAAGATTCCAGGGGAATTGATATAGCATGCTCTCTCTCTATCTCTATCTCTATCTCTATCTCTATCTCTATATATCTATATATCTCAATATAATCTAATCTCAATTATATATAATTTAGATCCACAAACAATGCATTTCATACCAGCAGTCAGGAAATCAGGAGAAATACTATTGCATTGGGAAAGTATATAGTCTGGTACTTTTCCTAATTATTAAGGAGCAACAGTGTTAGTTTGAGGACTAAGGTGTGTTTAATTCAGACCATGATTCTTTCAGTGACTTTCTATGCATCTGAATGCTGGACAATGAATAAGGATGAGAGGTGAGTATTGAATGTCCCATGGACTGTCAAAAGAACAGGTATGTCTTAGAGAAGGTGAAACCAAATTACTCTTTGGGGGCAAGAATGCAAAGCTTTATCTCACATGCTTTGGGCATGTTGCTAGGAAAGGTTATTCCTTGGCTATCGATCTTAGCTGGAAGCAGAGAGTACCAGAGGAATGAATGTCTATATATGTTTCATTGACTATGCAAAGGCAATTTGTCTGTGTGGCTCATAACAATATACACTATGGGTCATATTTGATTGTCAGCACCTGACAACAACAACAGCAACAACAACAACATATAGATGAAGACCCTCAATCAGGTGTATTGACAGGGTGAACGCAACAATGGCTTGAATATGTTGGAGATTTTGAGATTGGCAGATAGTACAGAGATA